CATATTAATTTTATAAGAAATAAGAACAAAGAGTTCAGTGACCACAACTTTGTCAAAATTTAACAAAGTTATTGCATATAACTGTAATAGTAAATTTAACTATGTTAAACATTGACAATAACTGTGAGAATGAACGTGTGGTTTTTGTTCCATTTTGAGAGTATTTATTGTTTTATTTTAAAGATTTTCACCAGTCAGCTGAATTGTTTATGTTTTTTAATATAATTCTTTGAAGAGAAATTTGTTTTCAAGTGTAGATGGAAGTAAAATAACTGAGAATACATTTGTGCATGACTTTGCAAGTTAGTTAAGTTCTTTCAAAGTGAAGGCTGTGTCTCGTATCAAGTGTTTAATTAAATTTACACTGATTTCAATAGGAACAATTATTTTGGTTAGCAAATGTTTAGATATAAGAAGGTAGTCATGGAAGAGATTAAGTTTGATATCCGTTCCATGGTACTTTAGCTTTTATTTTATTTAGAGCGAATAGATAGGGGTATGAAATAGGAAATTATAAGTGAAAAGAAATTTCGGATGTATTAACTGAGTTTTTAGCATTTTCTTAATGTATTTGGTATACCCTAATTGGGAAGTTGCTATTTCCTCAGTTTGAGATTAATATTACTTCCAACAACAATCAAAACAACTTTCATTTCGTGTTGAATCATAGTGAAAGCTAGTAATTTTTTTGAAATAATTTTGGTGTCAGTTGTGATCTGATGAGACTGTCCAAATACTGAGTCAACCAAATGTAATTTGGATAAAGCATTTAAATCGGTTTCCAGTTTCAGAAGCTTAGCAATTTTGCTAATTCCTTTAAAAATAAAAGTTGACACAATGTTATCAGTGCCTTCTCATTAATTGCCATTTTTGACTGTGACCACCCCTCGCTGTCATTCAATGCCCCTTAAATATCTGACTCATATTTTTTCTGGTTTAAAGCAAAATCAGTTTTCAGTTTCCTGTCTAACTTGACACAGCTTCCAACACTATCAGCTAGTTCATCTTACTTTTCATTGTTCACTCAAGAAAAGTTTTTTTTTGTCACATCGATCATTGTTTTGTGTCGTCTTTTATAAAAAAGTTCTCACTTACCTCGAGTTACTTTTTAATAACAGTCTCCCCATACTATTTCTCTATTTTATCAACACTTGGAAAAAAGCCTATTTAAGATAGTACACTGTCTTTGGAACAAATGATACCCTTTCAAACAAATGAAATGTTCCCAATCAAATCATCAGTTTCAACACTTGTGACACAGCTTACAGGAAACGTTGAATACTACCACTAAGACCAACTTTGATCAAACAAATGATCTACTAAGAAGAATCCTACGATTACATAACTAAGGTGGTCTGGCCCTAAGACTCAACAAGCCAACTTTGGAATAATTAAAATGATGTGGGGCTGTGTCACAGTAGGCCACAGGTTCCCAACCTTTTTTCCGTCGTAACCCCGTTATATAGAAGAAAAGTGACCCTCAACACCACTTTATAGAAACAAAGTGACCCACAAACTGAGAAAAACATGATACATTTAAAAGAGGCTTTCTAAGTTGAATAAACAAAATATCGAAAATAATTTTTTCAGCATAATAATATTGTATAATTAAATATAATTTTTATAAATTCAGTGCAATGCCATTTAAATTATGTTTGGGGCGATTGCAATTCCATTTACTTTACAGGTTATGTTATCACTGATCACAGTCACAGTTATGGCATATATTTTTATGACTTATGTTGTTCTTTCATGTTGCAGAGTTCTATGACTAAAAACTCATCAAACTGGTCAATCCTATCGTAAAAAGAGTCGAAATTACTTTAAAATCATTATAATTAATTAGGCCTATCTTAGTCATTTAAGTTAAGTCACTTTACTGTAGTTACGCTACTGTTTTAGCAGAAACCCCTGCTGCAAATATGATAAATAGTAGCCTACTATTTATTACAATAGTCTGAATGGAACCCTACCACTTGAGCGTTGGTTATGAAAAAATCCTGTTGTTCCAGTTTGAAGTGCTATTTAAACCCTAATTCTTTTATTGATGTCCATTTATGTGTACAATCATGTCACAGGAATGCATAGAGAGATATTGCAGGCTCACGTATTCTATGGAACAGATGGGCGGCTTAAGCAAACATAAACCAGATCAGTTACGGTATATATGAATACTCTGTTGTGGTCCAAATGACGCTGGTGTCCAAAAACAGCATGTTCAAAACATGTGGATGTCCGACAAGAACAAACTGAAAAGACAGTTTAGCACAAGCCACAATCTTTTCCATTCCCTTAGCATGAGTTCATGTTTTGTTGCCGTTTTTGTGGAGATTATATTTTTTAATTCTTCACTGTTGCCTTGGGAAAAAACTATGCATAATCTCAAACTCTGTTGTCTTTTCATTCATTAAATTGTTTAAATTTGCCACAAATTTAAAAAAAATTTTTTTTTCATTTTTATATTTTAAAAATTTTGTCTTGGATTATTTATAGATGTGCTGAAATGAATATGCAAAATGTCATGAAAAACATTCCATCTATTTTGGATAAATAAAAGAATTTTATCTTATCAATAACAGAATAAGCGTTTAAAAAGCACTACAAACCAGAACAACAGGATTTATTCATAACTGATGCTGAAAGGGTAGATTACCTTCTAATTACTACAGACTACTGAATAATCAGTGAATAGACTATCCCTATGCTAAGCCTATATTATTTTCTATTAATTACTATATTACTAATAACTATGGATAAAATATATATATTGATTTTTTATATTCATATATAATCTCTTATATAATATATATATATATATTTCTCTTCTGGTATGGCTGCATCCTATTCAACATGTTTTATATTAAGAGGGAAGAACAAAAAAAAGGGGCATTAGAGCAGCAAGCGTCATGCGTAATGGTTGAACCCAGGTAAGAGGATTTAATTTTTTCTGAGGCCACTATTACTACTTACTATTATATTATGTTAATCAATAAAGGGCCACAGGCAATGTTCCCTCTGAGGTTTGCTGGTTCGTGTGCAAAATCATACAGTTGTGAGCAAATTTTTACAGCCCACCAACACACACTTACATGGAAATTTGCTGCGCGGATACTCAAAACTGCTGCGCGGCATATGTGAGTTAGCTGCGAGGCCGCGCAGCTTAAAGGGAACATTGGCCACAGGTATGGTGTAGGACTATCTTTTTAGGAATATTTTTTAAATGCCGGCAAGTAGGGTGTAGTGTAGGGCTGGCTGTAGACTGTAGGACTATTATTCTTGAAAGATTTAATTTAAAGATTAAAAAAGGACATGCAGTTAGTTGAGTTAGTGAAGTTAGTGGGGTGTAGGATTGTCTGTAGTGACAGTGTAGTGTAGACCTACTATTGAAACTATACTATTATTGTCAATAATAGTATATAACATGTATTGTGATATTATTGTCATTGTTTAAACTTAATTTAAATTTTAAAGGCAGGCAGGATTATATTATGAGATGTTAACTTTTTTTTGAAATATAAGGACAAGTTATAGTAAACTTGGTAACTTTTTGGTCTTTTTATTTAAATAAAGCCTTGCCTCACACCTTAAGAGTCTTACAGCTTACAACACTTACAGCCTTATACTTACTCTTGAAAAACTTTATTCCACTTTATTGCGTATTTATTTATTGAGATATTACTTACTACGTCACTTACCATCTATGCCATTAATATGTGTCTCTAAGAAATGTCATCATTTTATATAGTTGTGAATGAAGGATAGGAAAATTAGGTTAAAATACAAATAAGACGAGATAAAAGATAAGCGAAAATGTTTAGCCTTTTTAAGAGTTTATTTTTTTAACCCCCAAACCGGAACTTAACTAGAGTAAAATAAAATATGCCCGTTTTCTCTTTTAAAAAAAAAATGGAATAAAAAATATTTTTTAAAAGAGACGAAAATTAGCGGAACAAATAATATCAATTTGGGGCTGATCAGTCATTTTTGCAACTTATAATAAATGGGTAGGCCTTATAAATATATATATTTATACATATATATATATATATATATATATATATATATATATATATATATATATATATTTTGTATTTCTCTTTTTTTTT